AGAGGGAGGATCAGAGGGAGGACCAGAGGATCAGAGGGAGGACCAGAGGGAGGACCAGAGGGAGGATCAGAGGGAGGACCAGAGGGAGGATCAGAGGACCAGAGGGAGGACCAGAGGGAGGATCAGAGGGAGGACCAGAGGGAGGACCAGAGGGAGGACCAGAGGGTAGGACCAGAGGGAGGATCAGAGGGAGGACCAGCGGGAGGACCAGAGGGAGGATCAGAGGGAGGATCAGAGGGAGGACCAGAGGGAGGATCAGAGGGAGGACCAGAGGGGAGGACCAGAGGGAGGATCAGAGGGAGGATCAGAGGGAGGATCAGAGGGAGGATCAGAGGACCAGAGGGAGGATTAGAGGACCAGAGGGAGGATCAGAGGGAGGACCAGAGGGAGGATCAGAGGGAGGACCAGAGGGAGGATCAGAGGGAGGACCAGAGGAAGGATCAGAGGGAGGACCAGAGGGAGGATCAGAGGACCAGAGGGAGGATCAGAGGGAGGATCAGAGGGAGGACCAGAGGGAGGATCAGATGGGGGGAGGACCAGCGGGAGGACCAGAGGGAGGACCAGAGGGAGGATCAGAGGACCAGAGGGAGGATCAGAGGACCAGAGGGAGGATCAGAGGGAGGATCAGAGGGAGGATCAGAGGGAGGACCAGAGGGAGGATCAGAGGGAGGACCAGCGGGGGAGGACCAGAGGGAGGATCAGAGGAGGATCAGAGGGAGGACCAGAGGGAGGATCAGAGGGAGGACCAGAGGGAGGATCAGAGGGAGGACCAGAGGGAGGATCAGAGGGAGGACCAGAGGGAGGACCAGAGGGAGGATCAGAGGGAGGACCAGAGGGAGGATCAGAGGGAGGACCAGAGGGAGGATCAGAGGGAGGACCAGAGGGAGGACCAGAGGGAGGACCAGAGGGAGGATCAGAGGACCAGAGGGAGGATCAGAGGGAGGACCAGCGGGAGGACCAGAGGGAGGACCAGAGGGAGGACCAGCGGGAGGACCAGAGGGAGGACCAGAGGGAGGACCAGAGGGAGGACCAGCGGGTTAGGACCAGCGGGAGGACCAGAGGGAGGACCAGAGGGAGGACCAGAGGGAGGACCAGCGGGAGGACCAGCGGGAGGACCAGAGGAGGGGTTAGGGTCTGGAGCTTTGTTTCTTCCATAATTGTTGAATGAAGTAATTTTTGGGATGGATCAAAAGACCTTCTGTTGTTGATCAAAACAAAAGGGACATGATAATAAATGAGTCTGAACTCAGAGTATGAGCGAAACATTACAACCTGAGAGCAAATGATGCTTTGCAATTTTACATGTTTTGGTGGTAAGAGAAACCGGAGCACCCGGAGGAAACCTACTCTATGTTAGTGTTTCTCAAACTTTACTTTAATGTTTAACAACTCTGACCTCTCTGTCACAGTTTATAAAAGCCATGCGTCAGACCAAGGACAGAACCAGGTTTAGGTTCTGTCAGAACCTGATTCAGGCTCTGACAGAACCAGGCTTAGGTTCTGACAGAACCCGATTGCTCTGACAGAACCCAGTTTAGGTGACAGAACCAGATTAGGCTCCTGACAGAACCAGGTTTAGGCAGGTTTAGGTAAGACAGAACCAGGCTCTTAGGTTCTGGACAGAAAACCAGGATTCTAGGTTCTGACAGAAACCAGGCTTTGGATTTCTGACAGAACCAGGCTTAGGTTTGACAGAACCAGGTTTAGGCTCTGACATAACCAGGTTTAGGCTCTGACAGAACCAGGTTTAGGTTCTGACAGAACCAGATTCAGGTTCTGACAGAACCAGGCTTAGGTTCAGCTCTGACAGAACCAGGTTTAGGCTCTGACAGAACCAGGTTTAGGCTCTGACAGAACCAGGTTTAGGTTCTGACAGAACCAGGCTTAGGTTCTGTGGAAAAGAACTTTCACCAAACCTGAAATAAACCAAAGTAGTCCATGCTTTATGTGTTCAGACACATGCTCAGGGTCAGAACAAAACCACACCATTCAGCCATACTGTTAGCATGTTAGCTATGCTGTTAGCATGTTAGCTATGCTGTTAGCATGTTAGCCATACTGTTAGCATGTTAGCTATGCTGTTAGCATGTTAGCTATGCTGTTAGCATGTTAGCCATACTGTTAGCATGTTAGCTATGCTGTTAGCATGTTAGCTATGCTGTTAGCATGTTAGCCATACTGTTAGCATGTTAGCTATGCTGTTAGCATGTTAGCTATGCTGTTAGCATGTTAGTTATGCTGTTAGCATGTTAGCCATACTGTTAGCATGTTAACTATGCTGTTAGCATGTTAACTATGCTGTTAGCATGTTAGCCATACTGTTAGCATGTTAGCTATGCTGTTAGCATGTTAGCCATACTGTTAGCATGTTAGCCATACTGTTAGCATGTTAGCCATACTGTTAGCATGTTAGCCATACTGTTAGCATGTTAACTATGCTGTTAGCATGTTAGCCATACTGTTAGCATGTTAGCCATACTGTTAGCATGTTAGCCATACTGTTAGCATGTTAGCCATACTGTTAGCATGTTAGCCATACTGTTAGCATGTTAGCCATACTGTTAGCATGTTAGCCATACTGTTAGCATGTTAGCTATGCTGTTAGCATGTTAGCCATACTGTTAGCATGTTAGCTATGCTTTTAGCATGTTAGTTATGCTGTTAGCATGTTAACCATACTGTTAGCATGTTAGCTATGCTGTTAGCATGTTAGCCATACTGTTAGCATGTTAGCCATACTGTTAGCATGTTAGCCATACTGTTAGCATGTTAGCCATACTGTTAGCATGTTAGCTATGCTGTTAGCATGTTAGCCATACTGTTAGCATGTTAGCTATGCTTTTAGCATGTTAGCTATGCTGTTAGCATGTTAACCATACTGTTAGCATGTTAGCTATGCTGTTAGCATGTTAGCCATACTGTTAGCATGTTAGCCATACTGTTAGCATGTTAGCCATACTGTTAGCATGTTAGCTATGCTGTTAGCATGTTAGCCATACTGTTAGCATGTTAGCTATGCTTTTAGCATGTTAGCTATGCTGTTAGCATGTTAACCATACTGTTAGCATGTTAGCTATACTGTTAGCATGTTAGCCATACTGTTAGCATGTTAGCTATGCTTTTAGCATGTTAGCCATACTGTTAGCATGTTAGCTATGCTGTTAGCATGTTAACCATACTGTTAGCATGTTAGCTATACTGTTAGCATGTTAGCCATACTGTTAGCATGTTAGCTATGCTGTTAGCATGTTAGCTATACTGTTAGCATGTTAGCCATACTGTTAGCATGTTAGCCATACTGTTAGCATGTTAGCCAGACTGTTAGCATGTTAGCCATACTGTTAGCGTGTTAGCCATACTGTTAGCGTGTTAGCCATACTGTTAGCATGTTAGCCATACTGTTAGCATGTTAGCCAGACTGTTAGCATGTTAGCCATACTGTTAGCGTGTTAGCCATACTGTTAGCGTGTTAGCCATACTGTTAGCATGTCAGCTTGTTAGCGTGTTAGCCATACTGTTAGCATGTTAGCTTGTTAGCTAGCAGCAGACGTGGTGTGGCTTTGAGCAGAGATCATTGATCACATTCACAAGTCAAAGAAAGAGTCAAAGAGAAGGAACTCATCCTGCAGTCAGTGAGACAGAGACAAGGACTTTAGGAGGTGAAGGAGGTGAAGAGGAGGCGCAGAGGAGGTGAAGAGGAGGCGCAGAGGAGGTGAAGAGGAGGCGCAGAGGAGGTGAAGAGGAGGCGCAGAGGAGGTGAAGAGGAGGCGCAGTGGAGGTGAAGAGGAGGTGAAGAGGAGGTGAAGAGGAGGCGCAGTGGAGGTGAAGAGGAGGTGAAGAGGAGGTGAAGAGGAGGCGCAGTGGAGGTGAAGAGGAGGTGAAGAGGAGGATCATGGTCTGAGGTCAGAGAGATGGACCAGGTGAGGGGGGGTGTAGAGACTGGTGCAGGAGGAGGAAGAATTGTTGACAATAATAAATAAATACAATCTCAGAATCCTCCTTAAGGACCTCACATGGTTCAGTACGGACCTCACATGGTTCAGTACAGACCTCTCATGGTTCAGTACAGACCTCTCATGGTTCAGTACGGACCTCACATGGTTCAGTACAAACCTCACATGGTTCAGTACGGACCTCTCATGGTTCAGTACAGACCTCTCATGGTTCAGTACAAACCTCACATGGTTCAGTACGGACCTCTCATGGTTCAGTACGGACCTCTCATGGTTCAGTACAGACCTCTCATGGTTCAGTACAGACCTCTCATGGTTCAGTACAGACCTCTCATGGTTCAGTACAGACCTCTCATGGTTCAGTACAAACCTCACATGGTTCAGTACGGACCTCTCATGGTTCAGTACAGACCTCTCATGGTTCAGTACGGACCTCACATGGTTCAGTACGGACCTCTCATGGTTCAGTACAGACCTCTCATGGTTCAGTACGGACCTCTCATGGTTCAGTACAGACCTCTCATGGTTCAGTACAGACCTCACATGGTTCAGTACAGACCTCTCATGGTTCAGTACGGACCTCACATGGTTCAGTACAGACCTCTCATGGTTCAGTACAGACCTCTCATGGTTCAGTACGGACCTCACATGGTTCAGTACAGACCTCTCATGGTTCAGTACAGACCTCTCATGGTTCAGTACGGACCTCTCATGGTTCAGTACAGACCTCACATGGTTCAGTACAGACCTCACATGGTTCAGTACGGACCTCACATGGTTCAGTACAGACCGCTCATGGTTCAGTACGGACCTCACATGGTTCAGTACAGACCTCTCATGGTTCAGTACAGACCTCACATGGTTCAGTACGGACCTCTCATGGTTCAGTACGGACCTCTCATGGTTCAGTACAGACCTCTCATGGTTCAGTACGGACCTCACATGGTTCAGTACAGACCTCTCATGGTTCAGTACGGACCTCACATGGTTCAGTACAGACCTCTCATGGTTCAGTACAGACCTCACATGGTTCAGTACAGACCTCTCATGGTTCAGTACGGACCTCACATGGTTCAGACTCCGCCTCTTTCCTTATATCCTCAGGTTAAAATTGGACTGAGGAAGTGGGCGGAGTCTGCTGTGCTCCTGCTCAGGTTGGAGCGAACACCTGCAGCCGCAGCCGCCCTGCCTGGAACTGGTTTGATAGTGGTACTATGAAGGACACAGTACTATGAAGGACACATGCACTGCGGCTCTCTGTGTTTCACTCGTGGAAGAGTATTTATACTTTTACTTTGACATGAGCAGAAGTTCTTTAGACGTCGTCTGTGATGTCATTATAATGTGTTTGCACATGGTACGTCTTTATGGTGTTGGAGACTGAGGTTAAAACCATAAACACAGAAGGACCTCAGAGGATCCACAGTCTTAAGAGCAGTTCCTTAAGGTGGACCTCAAAAGTTACTTAAGGTGGACCTCAACAGTTTCTTAAGGTGGACCTCAGCAGTTTCTTAAGGTGGACCTCAACAGTTCCTTAAGGTGGACCTCAGCAGTTCCTTAAGGTGGACCTCAACAGTTCCTTAAGGTGGACCTCAGCAGAAGGTTAACTACGAGGAGCAAGAGGGACGAGGAGGTACTTCTATTGGATTTGGATTCAGGGAAGTGTTCTGGGAGGAAGGGGAGGCCAGAGGGGACTAGAAGAGGCCAGAGGGGACCAGAGGAGGCCAGAGGGGACCAGAGGAGGCCAGAGGGGACCAGAGGAGGCCAGAGGGGACCAGAGGAGACCAGAGGAGGCCAGAGGGGACCAGAGAGAGACCAGAGGGGACCAGAGGAGGCCAGAGGGGACCAGAGAGAGACCAGAGGGGACCAGAGAGAGACCAGAGGGGACCAGAGGAGGCCAGAGGGGACCAGAGAGAGACCAGAGGGGACCAGAGGAGGCCAGAGGGGACCAGAGGAGGCCAGAGGGGACTAGAGGAGGCCAGAGGGGACCAGAGGAGGCCAGAGGGGACCAGAGGAGGCCAGAGGGGACCAGAGGAGGCCAGAGGGGACTAGAGGAGGCCAGAGGGGACCAGAGGAGGCCAGAGGGGACTAGAGGAGGCCAGAGGGGACCAGAGGAGGCCAGAGGGGACCAGAGGAGGCCAGAGGGGACTAGAGGAGGCCAGAGGGGACCAGAGGAGGCCAGAGGGGACCAGAGGAGGCCAGAGGGGACTAGAGGAGGCCAGAGGGGACCAGAGAGAGACCAGAGGGGACCAGAGAGAGACCAGAGGGGACCAGAGGAGGCCAGAGGGGACCAGAGAGAGACCAGAGGGGACCAGAGGAGGCCAGAGGGGACCAGAGAGAGACCAGAGGGGACCAGAGGAGGCCAGAGGGGACCAGAGAGAGACCAGAGGGGACCAGAGGAGGCCAGAGGGGACTAGAGGAGGCCAGAGGGGACCAGAGAGAGACCAGAGGAGGCATGAAGGCATCAGCAGGTGTGGACAGACAGATGTGATGGGTGGTGGGTAGTGGTTGGTGGGTGGTTGTTCGAGCCATGCTATGGGTGGAGGTGGGTGGTTGTTTGAGCCATGCTATGGGTGGAGGTGGGTGGTTGTTCGAGCCATGCTATGGGTGGAGGTGGGTGGTTGTTCGAGCCATGCTATGGGTGGAGGTGGGTGGTTGTTCGAGCCATGCTATGGGTGGAGGTGGGTGGTTGTTCGAGCCATGCTATGGGTGGAGGTGGGTGGTTGTTCGAGCCATGCTATGGGTGGTGTGTTTACCCCCTGACATAGATGTCAGACATCTTCTCTCCTGTCATGAAAGCATCGTCCTCTAGAATAACGTCGTCAGTGTTCCAAATAATGACACGCAGCTCAAAGCTGAGCACGAGCGGAGAGAAGACACACACACACACCACAAACACACACAAATGGACAAGACAAAACAAAAGCATGGTTAAAACAAAAGAGAAGGTCACGCACACGCGGAGCAGCCGCCGCCGCCGCCGCCCGTACCTACCCCCGCACAAATATGTCACTGGACTTGTCCCCAGTGAAGAAATCATCGTCCTCCAGAATTACTTCATCTGTATTCCAAATAATCACTCTGAGCTCATATCTGCGAGGAACACACACTTCAGTGAGGACAGGCCTGAGGCTACAGCGCCCCCTCTGGACTCACACTCACACTACACTACACTACATACTACATTTATACTACTAATACAACTTATATACTGCATACTATATACTTATATCATCCTACAGCGCCACCTCTGGACTCACACTACACTACATACTACATAGATACTACATACAGTATACAGTACAGACCAAAAGTTTGGACACCTCCTCTTTCAAAGAGTGTTTATTTTCATGATTATAAAACTGTAGATTGACACTGAGGGTCTCAAACCTATGATGAACTCATGTGAATCATGTTTGTAGTAAAAAAGTATGAACCAAGTGTAAATATGTGTTATATTCTGGTTCTTCAAAGTAGCTCCTTTTGCTCTGATACTGCTTCACTCTTGGCATTCTCTGGATGAGCTTCAACAGGACCTGAAATGGTCTCCAACAGTCTGGAAGGAGTTCCCATGATGCTTTGCACTTATGGCCCCTTCACTCTGTGGTCCAGCTCCAAAACCATCTGGACTGGGTTCAGGTCCAAAACCATCTGGACTGGGTTCAGGTCCAAAACCATCTGGACTGGGTTCAGGTCCAAAACCATCTGGACTAGGTTCAGGTCCAAAACCATCTGGACTAGGTTCAGGTCCAAAACCATCTGAACTAGGTTCAGGTCCAAAACCATCTGGACTGGGTTCAGGTCCAAAACCATCTGGACTAGGTTCAGGTCCAAAACCATCTGGACTGGGTTCAGGTCCAAAACCATCTGGACTGGGTTCAGGTCCAAAACCATCTGGACTGGGTTCAGGTCCAAAACCATCTGGACTGGGTTCAGGTCCAAAACCATCTGGACTCCAAGACACGTTAGTGTCGTATCAACCAAGTCGAGCGTTGCGCTCACAAAACGCCAGATGTCTGGTGGTCCCTAAGGTCTCAAAGGTCACTGTTGGTGGCAGAGCATTTAGCTCCAAGCTCCTTTACTGTGGAATCAGCTTCATTTATGTTAAGGAAGCAGATACGGTCTCCACATTCAAGGCCAGGCTTAAAGCACTCTACTTTAATTTAGCATATAATTAGGTATTATATAATATGTAGTGTATATATTAATATATAACATAATACAGCATATATATATATGTTATATATTATTCAATAATGTATTGTGTTATGTTGTATATTATGTTATATATTATGCTGTATGTTATTCTTTATTCAAGGCTAGGTTTAAAACAGTCCTCTTTAGTTTAGCATATGGCTAGGAAGGTAAGACTCGGAGAAGGTTAAACTCCTCAGAGTGTCAGTCAAGCTGCATAGGGAGTCAGTTTTCTGGGAGAAGTATGGTAACTTGAGCACTATCCTCTCCTCCTTCCTACTTTATCTGTTTAGCACTTTTAGGATTCTGACTGTAGTTTGTTCATTGCTATTCACCCGTTGTCCCATTGTCTGTTTCATGGTACGATGACGGGATCTCTGAGCCTGGCCTCCTCCATCTACACCTGCGGACTGCCCCGCCCGACCCGCCTGGGAGTGCTTCAGTCCTGCACCGGACCTGTCCACGTTCAGCGGCCACTGGTCCACGTCCTGTAGCTAGCTTAGGTCCTGTAGCTAGCTTAGGTCCTGTAGCTAGCTTAGGTCCTGGATCATTAGCCTGTCCGTCCGGAGGAGCGGATCCCTTTCTCATATGGGTCTCCCTCCCTGTGGGTTTCCCTAGTTCTCCTCCAAGGTTTCTCACTTTTTCCCACTGGGTTTTTTAAGAGTTTTTCCTTGTCGATGCAGGAGGGTCTTGTTGGACAGTTAGTGTCCAACAGAAAGGATTGGTGATGATCAGGACACTTTAGCATTCTACAACATGTATGGACATTTTCTTCTGTGTGTGCTTTATATTCTTCATGTGTTTTAACTGTTGATTCTCTGACCTGTGTTGGTGATTTCAATGGTTTTGTTAAGTCTCTGAGATGACTTCTGTTGTGACCTAGGGCTATACAACAATACATTCTATTGTATTGTATTGTATTGGACTGGGTTCAGGTCCAAAACCATCTGGACTGGGTTCAGGTCCAAAACCATCTGGACTGGGTTCAGGTCCAAAACCATCTGGACTGGGTTCAGGTCCAAAACCATCTGGACTAGGTTCAGGTCCAAAACCATCTGGACTGTGTCCAGGTCCAAAACCATCTGGACTAGGTTCAGGTCCAAAACCATCTGGACTGGGTTCAGGTCCAAAACCATCTGGACTGGGTTCAGGTCCAAAACCATCTGGACTAGGTTCAGGTCCAAAACCATCTGGACTAGGTTCAGGTCCAAAACCATCTGGACTGGGTTCAGGTCTACCAACCATCTGGACTAGGTTCAGGTCCAAAACCATCTGGACTGGGTTCAGGTCCGGCCCTTACACAGCCTGGTGCGGGTCTACAGCAATAGTCATGAACAGAACTCAGTGAAGGAGAGGGTGTCCAGACTTTTGATCTGTATACTATATACTTCACTATACGACTATATCATGTTACAGCACCACCACTGGACTCACACTAAACTACACTACATACTACTAATACAACTAATACTCATATATACTACATATATACTTCTGTCATCCTACAACATCAGCATGCTCAGTGTCTGCATTAAAGCTGAGGTACCTAACTTGAAACTGTTAGGTACGTCACTACAATGTCACGACATCACTACAACGTTACAACGTCACTACAATGTCACAACATCACTACGACATCAATGTGACGTAACTGTGATGTCACTACATCACTAATATGTCACTACGACGTCACTATGACACCACTATGATGTCACTATGACACCACTATGACACCACTATGACATCACTATGATGTCACTATGACACCACTATGATGTCACTATGACACCACTATGACATCACTATGATGTCACTATGACACCACTATGATGTCACTATGACATCACTATGAT